GTCCGGACCTCACCCACCCTCATGGCCTTCAGAAAAGCTGTTAAGACCTGGCTGTTCCGGCAGGCCTGGGGCTGTTGACCTTACTATGTAGGGTCAGAACGTATTCGTGTTGGAGAATTTTTTGGAGAATTTTTTATTTTGGAGAATTTTTTATTTTTATTTTGTTTTCTTTCTTGTTCTGTGTAAACCGCCCAGAATCCTCCGGGATTGGGCGGCCTATAAATCTAATAAATTAAATTAATTAAATTAAATTAATGAATGGATTTCAGGGCTGATAAACCAAATCCAGCAAACTTCAATGTGGCAGCTTGATTTGGTTTGTGACAATTATAATTCTTGGAAAAATGTGTAAATAACTTGCGTATACAGTATTTCATGATGTTGTGATTAACCCTTTTTCTTTTGTATAGATAATAGCTGTAAACAGTTGAAGATAATGAAGATAATGCATAGTTCAGAATCAACTTGTTTCTGTTACGTTCCAAATGGAGCAATGTACTTACAAAATACTTGGTCAACTATTCAGGTAAAGGCATGTCATTGATACCCTCATAAATTAAGCAGTGTAGAGCCCAAGTACTATGTGTAGATTTATTTTTGGAAGACCAATCTTGTAATTTTTCAGACAAACATCAGTATTTGCCTCCTGCTTTTTCTTCCACTTGTATGATTGAAACAGAATAAATCATTTGTGTTAACTGAAACGTGAGTCTTAAGTTTACAATCAAAGCAAGATATCAAGCTAGGAATTACAGTATTAATGGCTTACAAGCTCTGCTTGGGTTTGGAGCACCAGATCCAAGTTCAAATGCAATTCATTATTTACAGGTAAACACTCATGTCACAACCATTTGTTTAGTGACCATTTGACCGTCACTGAAAAATGTGAATTATTACCAGTTTTCACAAGACTGTTGCAGTATCTCCATGGTCACGTGATCAGAATTAGGCTGCTTGGCAAATGGCGTGTTTTTATAACGGTTGCAGTTTCCTAGGGTTATGTAATCACCATGTGTAACCTTCCCAGCTGGCTTCCAACAAGCAAAATCAAAGCCAGATTCACTTAATGACTGCATTATTCACTTAACAACTGCAGTGATTTGTTTAACAACTGTGGAATAAAGGTCATAAAATGAGGCACAAGTCACTTAACCACCACTTTGCTGATCAGTGGAAATTATGGACTCAATTGTTACAAGTTGAGAACTACCCATATTTGTACTCGTTCACTTACTTGTGCAAATGGCTGTGGTAGGATGCCTCAGGATTTCTAACTGAAAGCGTAAGGTTCCCCTCATACATGTGTGCTAGTCGTTCCTGACTCTAGGGGGCAGTGCTCATCTTCGTTTCAAAGCCAATGAGCTAGCGCTGTCCAAAGACATCTCCGTGGTCATGGGGCCAGCAAGACTAATGCCAAAGGCGCACGGAACGCTATTACCTTCCCACCAAAGTGGTCCCTATTTTTCTACTTGCATTTTTACATGCTTTTGAACTGCTAGGTTGGCAGAAGCTGGGAAAGTAACGGGAGCTCACCCCATTACGCAGTGCTAGGGATTTGAACCGCCAAACTGCTGACCTTTCTGATTGAGAAGCTCAGCATCTGAGCCACTTCATATAAACATAGACAAACTTTAATGGTGTAAGAAATCCGATTGTTCCTTATTTCACACTTCCATTTAGCTGTTGAATATATAATTAAGAATTATTATATTTTTTAGGTGTCCATAAACAGCACTGAATTATTTCAAGTGGTGTATATCCCAAATGAACATGAATGCCAAAATTCCGCACATTTCCTCGATTTTTTGAAGTGCCTGATTAGCAATATTTGGCAGCCTAGTGTGTCTAATCAAACAATCATAACAGTGGACCAATATGTTGGCAAAACATGTTTCAGGATCGAACCGACCAATAAAGTACTCTTCACTGTGAGTGTACAACCAAAGAGTGAGTAATATTAAGAGAAATCCATTTATAAAATACTTTGGTATTATTAGAAGTATGCATTTTCAGTACATAAGTGAAACAGGTTTCGATTTCCCATCTTTTTGTTTTGTTCCAGTGCTGGATATCAAACTCCTTCTGTTATTTGTTGCTGGTGCACTTCTTTTTCATTTTGCCTATAGCCTGAGCAGGTATGTGCTAGCTTTCCTGGAATCTGTCACTTATATGAACCTGCTAATTTTGAAAATAATAATGAGCTGCAAGTCTGCAAATCTAAGAAATTGTATTGATTTCAGCAAGACTTGAGACCAGATACCCTGGGTGCGGCTGTAGTTCTGTCCTTCCAATTTTTAAAGAGTGTGTTTATTTAGACATGCAATATTGTCTAAATCAGTGATCAGTAAGGGTGGAATTAATAAGGCACACATTGAGGAATAAATTGAGTTGCTCTACCGGGGCTGAATGAGTATACATAAGATTGCATTATAAAACTGCAATGCCATGCTCTCTGGAATGTAGTATCAAGGCAATAGAGGTTTTGGACTTTATTCTCCGAATGGGAAGAGAAACAAATGCTTTCAGAAGGAGCTCTGATCTTGGATGTTTTCTTCTGTATCTGCCATGAATCTCATTGTCTTTAACTCTCTGACACTGATTGCCTCAAACAAGGGCTGATGGAACAGGTATTTAATGGATCTGCCACAGGGGGAAAAATTGCATGGCCTCCAGCACACTCCCTATGGATAAGGGTTGCATATACAACCTCTATTCCCGGGATGGTGAACTTATGGCACGCATGCCACAGGTGGCACACAGAGCCATTTGTCAGGGCACGCGAGGTGTTGCCCTGTCAGCTGGCCA